TTGTTTTGAGAAAACACGCTGCGGACTTCCTGCAAAAACTTGCTCTTTGGAAACTACCACTACAGCATGTGCTTTTGGTTAAGCATTCCACGGCTGAAACGCAACTCGATGCTAAAATGCCGAGAGGATGAGGCAAAATCTTGGCCAAGGTCAAGCTCCGCTGATGGTTTGAGAGGGGGATGGCAGCCAACTCTCTGCACTTGTATAACATTTAAAAAAGGAAAAACTAACCCCAAGTCATCTTCTGTTCCTTTTCTGAGCCAACTTTAGTCTTGCTCATTGTATCCGAGAACTCAGAGGGAGCCATGTGTGCTACGGCTCAGGCTGACCCAACCTCCAGGGCCAAACGTACAGATCTTGATTAGACAGGAACTAAGCCAGCTGACTGGGGCTCCAGTTGGCTCTATGAGATTTAACAAAAGATGTCAACATTTTAGATAAAGTTAGGGTCCGTCTAGGAGAGGGCAGAGAAATATACTTTAGCCTCTCTTTTGGCTCTCTGGTCATTTTTTCTGGAACATCAACAAAATGCCCCCAATTTGGTAGAAAATGGGGGCTCACGTCTACATCGAAGTGATTATTGTGAAAAGAGCCTCAAGTTTAGCATACTTGGTACAAATAAATCTGTGCTACACAAAGAAAAGCCAATACACTATACCCCTTTGGGACTGAAACTAAGCACAAGGATGGAATGGAAAATGTATTTCCTGCCAGGTCACAGGGAATGGATATATCGGAAATGGGAAAAATGTCTCTCAGCAGTTTATAAAATACAAACTTTACATTTTGCACATGTCCCGTCTCACTGGTGGCCAGGCAAAGGTAAGCAGGACCAAGTCCCAGGCAGGTCAGGGTTACACAGAGGCAGGCCCCTGAGACTTCTCAAGTCTCCCTGGGAGTTAACCTTGTCTTAGGACTCACAGATGGAGAACAATGTGTTAACACAGTGGACCCCTCAAATTTTCTTAGGCAGTCCTGACACCATAAAAATAGAGAATTTTTTTTTTTTTTTTTTTTTTTTTTGCGGTACGCGGGCCTTTCACTGTTGTGGCCTCTCCCGTTGCAGAGCGCAGGCTCCGGACGCGCAGGCTCAGCGGCCATGGCTCACGGACCCAGCCGCTCCGCGGCACGTGGGATCCTCCCAGACCGGGGCACGAACCCGCGTACCCTGAATTGGCAGGTGGACTCCCAACCACTGTGCCCCCCGGGAAGCCCAAAAAAGAGAATATTTTTAACTTATTGGTTTAATGTTTTCCTTTTCAAGTATCCAATTCTATCCAATTCTCTATGGCACAGCCTTAATTTCTCCTATCTTTAAACTGAGAAACATTCTTCCCCCTCCTCACCCCCCACCAACATCCTCCCATTTACAGAACTTGGCAAAAGTTGCCTCATTTCTACTCTGTGCTTTTCCCTTATTAAGCCTTACAGCACTGGCGATGTGGGTGAAGATAAAGATTTCTCTTCTTTCTTTACTGTTAAATAGTGAACTGAATAGAAATGTGAGTTCCCTAAGGCCACACATAGTACAACTCTGGTGAGAAGAGTATTTTGACCTCCAGCGGAGCTCCAGATGGAGGGAGCAGGCTTCTCCCTAGTCAACGAGGCCAGGAGGACACCGTGTGTCATCCTGTTTCCCTCGCCCCCTTCCTTTCACGCACAGCCTCCATTCCCAGGGCTGGGGGTGGGATGAGAGTGTGCGATGAAGCAGAAGGTACACAGCACCCAAGGGAAAGTGCCACATAAAGAAACGGTGGGATGTATGACAGAATGCTACACTAGGAGGGCCCCTACAGCACATCTAATTCAAACTCCTAATTTTACAGGTAAAGAAAGGAGTCCAGAAAAGTTCAGTGATTGGCCCAAAGACACACAGCTGTTGACCACAACCAGAACCCAGGTCACCAACCCACTCCTCTGATCCTCCAACACACTATACAACTGAGTTTAGGAAAAAGCAAAATACGAAGTCCACAGACTATACTCCCATCACCCCCCCAACCAGATAAATGTACCTTCTTTAAAACTACCTGTGCCTCAATCTCCTATTTCTTTTCAGCCCTGTTAGCTCACTAAGCTCAAATTTTGGATTCTTATCCAGGACTTAATAGATACCCTGGTGGTCTGAGTAGTCAGAATCCCAACTCTGCCCCAGCATGTTGCAGCCTGAGAAGGCAGATCTCTGGAAACAGGAGTAGAGTATAAGGAGCCTCTCCAACTCAGGAATATCTGAACCACACATCACGCTTATAATAATGCTGACTGAAACTCAGCAGCTCTGGAAGCTTATGCTGGCAGAAAGGCAACAGGCTACCTATCGAGCGAGAGAAAAATTCAAGAATTAGAAACAAGGAAGTTGGGCTTCCCTGGTGGCGCAGTGGTTGAGAGTCCGCCTGCCGACGCAGGGACACGGGTTCGTGCCCTGGTCCGGGAAGATCCCACGTGCCGCTGAGCGGCTGTGCTCGTGAGCCATGGCCGCTGAGCCTGCGCGTCCGGAGTCTGTGCTCCGCAACGGGAGAGGCCACAACAGTGAGAGGCCCGCGTACCGCAAATTAAAAAAAAAAAAAAACAAGGAAGTTGCAAGGAGGGCAAATGCTTTGAGTTCAATCTGGAGGGTATGAGATTAACTATCTATCTGCATTCAGTCAGAGCACAGAATGACCTTTTAAGGCAGCAAGTACCACTGCCTTGGAGGAGGGAACAGCCCAGGATGTGTGAACTAGGTCCTTTGACATTCCCTATTCCTATGCACAGCAAGTCAGCTCTTGGTTATCTCCCACGTGATTGCCCATTTGATCCAGTACCCACAGCGTCTAGGGACTGCCAATAACCAGAGTTGGCCACAGACAAAGCTGGTTAGAAGGAAACAATGGTCTAATGTACTTCCCACCTTCCCAAATAACATGTTGCCAGTTAAGTAAAGGACCTTGGTGCCGCAGGCAAAGACATCTCCCTGGTAGGGTAGGTGGAACAGGTACTTTTGAACAAGTGGAACGAACATTTGGCTGCATGTCAGCCCTGCTCCATCACCTGATGCAAAACTGTCCCAGGACTGGGGAAAGACAGAAGGTTTTTGGTTCCAGCATGAGGGGGCAACTTGGTGAATACCTAAAAAGAATAACTGAATTCCAAAACAAGAGTATTCTGAGGATTATGTATTATTTTTATATTACTCAGATCAAGAGTTAACTATATGAGAATCATTCTTATACCCTCTTACAGCTTATTTCGTCCAAGAAAAACTGATTCTCACTGTATTCCTGAGGGATGAAGTACTCTAAAAAAATGACCAGGTAAACCACAGAAAAGACAAGACACCAGAAAGAAGGATTCTTTTAAAATATGTAACAATTAGCAAACTAGAAAAATGAGAAACTCTGATACCTCTCAGAGAATGAGACACAATGAAGAAAAAAACAAAAAAAAAGGAAGAAAAGGTAAATGAATGAATGAAAAACTCAGAGAGGCAAGGTAACAAAGAATTTAAATTATAGTCAAATGTTAGGGTCCCAAACATTAGAATACAAAGCTGAACAAAAGCTCTTTCTGCTTGCTGGGTCCCTAAGAGTCTAAAATGAGGGATTAAAATGGCTTTATTTCAACAGAACACATTTTGTCATCTGATCTCTGTCTGCGACATGGATAAGAATAAGGAACTTATGGCTGCACCCTTAAGAGGCAACAAATCCCTGAATGTTGTGCCTTGTTCACTTAAGGATGGCAAATCACTAATTGCTTGTCAATCGGGAAAAAAAAAAGTCTATAGCTTTTATTTTAAAATAAATTTTTTTATTTTTAATTATTTTTTTTACATTTTTATTTTAAAACAAACTATATCCAAAAAACACTGCTGCAAGGGGGAACAAGGCAATAAAGGATGGGAGACGGAAGGGAAGCAGAGAAAGACTCTGAGCCTGCAGTTGTAACGATCAGGCACATTCAGAGAGGCCTTTGCTGTGACACTGTCCGCTCACCTCTACTCACAGGGGAGGAAGCTCAGCAAATGCACTGGGACGTGAGTTAAAGGGTCAAAGGGAAGCATTCCCTTCACAGGAATTCCTAGAAGGTGATATCAATTTGTACTCACTCCAGCAATGTGAGTCCCCCTCCTCGCAACCCAATTTCTAGGGTTCTAACCTAAAAAAGTTAGCAAAGATATAGTCAAAGATTTATACACAAAAAAGTTCATCACAACATCATTGATATTAACAAAGGATCTGAAACAACCAAAATTTAACAGTGTGGGAATGGATAATAAAGCAAGGTAGAGTTACTGCAAATCTACTTTCCAAGATTTAAAGACACAAGAAATTACTTGTGATACCATGTTAAATGAGGAAAGAAAATTGTATACCAAGCTGTACATATGACTCTCAAGTTTGTTTAAACACCTTACATGTTATATGCATTTTTCAATACTGAAAGGAAATTCATAAACATACCAGCAGAGATTAGCTCTGTGCTACATGGAGGGAAGACGGATTTTCATTCTTTCTTTAGATTCGTCTCTAACAAGCATACACATTACTTTTGTATCAGAAAAAAATTTTATGTTAAAATATGCCCGCCCTAAAATAACTCACTAGAGATAGCAATTGTCAGTCTTAGAGAAAGGCGTCCAAGGCTGACTCAGAAAACAAAAAGATTCAAACCTACACAGTAACTGCTCTGAAAAGGATACGAAATCGAGGGTGCCACAGTCTAGATGTTTCCTCTACCGTGGCTGCTGGCTCTACATTACTAAGCTTTGCAGGGAGCTCTACTGGAGAAACCATTCCTCCTTCCGCAGCAACCACAGCATCTTAAACGACCTCCTAACGTGGTCCTCACCTCTCTGTATGAGGATCACAGGGAAAGAGAAAGGAAGAGCCCTACTCTCTTGTTTCGGAGGAAGACGTTTTTCTTGTAAAGCTGTCAAAATGACTCAAAGTGAGATAGACACAATCTGAAACATAACTCATGAGTTATGTTTTTTTTTAAAATTTATTTAATGAGTTATGTTTAGGACCCGTGTTATCAATGCCCCTTATTTCTCAAGAATGAATATAAAGCAAGATCTACGACGCCCCCTTGTGGCAAGCCTGACTACGACAACCACTTATCCATCTCCGCGGTTCTCCGCCCCGGGCTGTGGGCAGTAACAGCCCCTGAGGAACCTGCCCCCTAATAACCTTAGTGTGTTGAACAAACGGTCCCCAAGGCAGCTGGTACTATTTGTCTTCAAGACTTTCTAGTTTAGATCCCAGAGACACCTATTCGAGGATGAGTGGGGATGAAAGGGCAGAGGAACAAACTGCAGGGTGTGCATGTGTTGTGGGCCGCTGTCGACAGGCCAAAGCTGTTGGCGGAGGCACACGACGACACCTGCACACGTATCATGGGCTGCCACACGGCAGGGACCTATAGCATAAAGATCTCCTTCCCCAAGAGTATTTGCTGATTTTATAAAATTATGAAGAAAAAGGTTTTACATTTACAATCAATGAACTTTGTGCTTAGAAGTTGTTTTATTTACCAGTGTTAGAGCTACCATCACCAACTCGGGCACAATTCCGAAAGAACTGAGCTCTTGTTGAATTCTGGCCATAAAGCTCTTTTTTAAGCTTGTTAAGATCTTGTAAGGTAAGAAAGTTTTCCTAATACTTTATAAAAATACTAACCGCTAATAAGTTGATTCCGTACTCCAAGTGGTGGCCTCACGTTTGGAAAGATGAAACACCACCGTTTTGAACATCGAAACGTATTAATTAGTCTTGGCGTCCCAGGCATGAAGGGAGATGGAGAAATCCTCTCAACCTAACCAAATGACGCTGGGAGAGAATTAAGAGCTTAAAAGAGGTCAGTATTACAAACCTGATGGAACACTGAAGGGACCAGATACTGATTCTGAGAAGAGATAACCTTCCTCTCAGAAAGGGATTAAGCTAAAAACCCTGCCGTTCTGGGCAGGAGGCTTGCAAGAAACAGCAAAAGGGAAAGCTGAGCAAATTATCCAAGTTCTCTTGGGAGATGGTTCTTGTGCTTCTCTGTGCCCCACCCAGGCTGAAGGCCTCTTTCCAGAAAAGAATTCCCTCCAGCGTTAGGGTGAAAACGTATGGCAGGAAGTTGCTGCTTTGGTCCTGAATGTGTCAACGGGAGCATTTTCAAGCATGTGAAATAAACCGAAGCAACCCAGATGGGCTGGAGCCCAACCAGGTGAGTCACCGCACGGCACCAGGCCAAAGAATTTCTAATTATGAGGTTGAACTGGGAATAGGAATCCGACCCCTTTTCGCCTCTCCAACCTCTAGAAGAACGTTTTTTCCCCTCCTAACCTGATGGGCTTGAAATACATGACAGCTCCTGTTTGAGGTGAACCAACATGCTGGACAGGGAGAAAAAGCATTAAAAACCTGAGTGTCTTGACAAGACACTTCAGGGAGAATCCTTCATTTGTCGCCTGCACAGGGAAAGCAGAAGAGGGAGAGTAAAATGAAGGCCAAGCCTCCCATTTGTCCAGAAAAATAAAATAAGAGGGTGGAGTAAAGAACGCTCACCCTGCCCAACTAAAACTCAAGACCATAAGCTCCCCCTGAAAACAACAGCCTTGCTCCACCAGAAGCATCCTGGGATCAGTACAGGTTAGTATTGTGAGTTGTGTCACCAGGCTTTGACAATGACATTAAAACAGGAAGAGGTGAAATTTTCACCCCTGGCTCCAGCTTCCCAGCTGTCCCAACGTGGAAGGGAAGCAGCCATCACGACAGCTTGATGAGAAGGTCCTCCCCGTATTTCCGGAGCAGCTTCTGGTGGTTGTGGTCCACCGACCACTGCTGGGGCAGGTGCTTGGGCTGCATGGAGTCCAGGAAGTGCTGCCGCCAGCGGCTCTCCAGCTGCATGAGGGAGCGCAGCCCGCCCTGGGTGTGGCGCTGAACCACCTTCAGCCCGTGCGGAATGTAGTTTTCATTGGAGATCCTGTCAGGACACAAAGTACATGGGTCTGAGGGAAACAAGCAGGACAGTAACACAGTGGCTCCAAATGCTATGGGCCAAGATGCTTCGACAGGGGTTACAGAGAGGCTGCTGCATTCCTAAAGCGTTGGTCATTTTGATGCTTTTAAAACCATCCTCTTTCCCATATCTGCCTTTTTAAAAATAGTTTGGACATATAACACACAATCCAGCAGAAGGCATTTGGGGATTCTGATCTATACTTATGGGAAGGCCACTGCATAATGCTCGGCCCCCACCAGAGAGGCCCCGCTGTCTGGCTGATGATGGGTGAAGAATGTTGGTCTTTCATTGACTCCAGGGTTCCCCAGTTGCTTCTTTTAAGATATTCATTCTGAATATATTATTAGCTGTTTTATTAGCTGAATTATATTAGCTATTCAATCAGCCCGCGTGTTCCAGGTTTTCAGCACAGTGTAACACCTGAATGTAAAATGAAGGTGGTAATATTTCTTCGGCGTCTTCCTTCTTATACAAAGAATGCCAAACCACATCCACAAGATGTGCTTCTGCTGCGATGGAATTCTACCGTGGTTGCTTGGTTGCACAGCTAGTGCTGTTTAATGAGAAGATGAATCCCTGCTTCCTTTCTAACTAAGATACCTTGTGGACAGTACTGTCAGCTCCTATGAATAAAGGAAGCTCCCTGCCCGGGGCTCAGTTCCTCTCCCTACAATCCATACCCTACTCTCAGTCCTCGCTAACTAGCAGTGTTTGTGCCCCCTGGGTATTTGCAGGGCATTTTCTTATTTAGCTCACAAGCATCCCACTAACTTGCCTAAACTTTCCCCAAACAGCTGTTCTTCTCGGTCCTAGATATCCAAGCCCAGCACCCTTCCATCCAAGTCAGCAAGACGAATTTGTTAGAAAGGTCTGTCACTGAAAGGGCAAGTTTAGCTGTTTTAGGAAATACATTTGGGAATTGGTTAAAGGAGCCAGTCTCATTAATTTGTAATATGACCTTGGTAAGTTACTTAACGTTAACCTCGGGGCATCTAATATAAAACTTGGAGAACAGTTTTAAGAATAAAATTTAAGAATACTTTTTTAAAATTTTAAAAGATTTTAAAGATATAGGATATGTTAGCAGTTACCAGTAAGAAACTCCTACCTCATAGGGTTGTTATAAGAAATAATTAAGGCAATTTATATAAAGTTTATTAACTTGGTGGAATAGATTAGGATATCTATACAACATCTGTTCAATAAATATTTTTTGCTATAATTAAGTTCGTGGGGGAAGGCTGTTTTGTTTTTATAACAAAACACTAAGGCAACCAGCATAACTACCAGGATTTGCGACCTTATCAGTTTAATTATTTCAACCCCTGTTACCATTGAAAGAAGTGGCAAGTTGGGAAGCAAAACTATAGCAGGTAGCCCAGAGTTTTTATCATCTGGGCCATGTGCCCATTTATTTCTCAGGACCAAAAAATGCTTCTCATTTAGGGACACTGAATTAAATGATATGAATTCAACTATGTACTGACGGGGAAAGAGAGAGAAAGCAAGCAAGGAAGGAAAAAGGTAAAAAGTAATTTAAATAGTAACAGCAATTCTGGCCAACATCGCATTCAGTAGGCCAACACCCCGGAGTACAGGTGAGACAAGAAACATGAATCCATTTGTCTCAATTCCCACAGACCTAGATAAGGGAAGAGAGGCAAAACCACACACATTGTACTTCACGGGCAACTCCAGAGACTGGAGGATATATATTTTTTATATTTTATTTATTTATTTTTGGCTATGTTGCGTCCTCGTTTCTGTGCGTGGGCTTTCTCTAGTTGCGGCGAGCAGGGGTCACTCTTCATCGCGGTGCGCAGACCTCTCACTGCCGCGGCCTCTCCCGTTGCGGAGCACAGGCTCCAGATGCGCAGGCTCAGTAGTTGTGGCTCACGGGCCTAGTTGCTCCGCGGCATGTGGGATCCTCCCAGACTGGGGCTCAAACCCGTGTCCCCTGCACTGGCAGGCAGATTCTCAACCACTGCGCCACCAGGGAAGCCCTGGAGGATATTTTTTGACTCTTATTTTCCTCTTATGAGCTGACCTGAGGATTTACTTCTGCAGAGAATGTATAAGGTACAACTCCAGTGTCCCTGAACTCTCCTGCTAAGCATGAAAATGGCTGGACATAAGTATATGACCTCGAAGGGTCAAGGATAGAAGGCAAGTCTCCTGTGGAAAGTAAATTAGCAAACAGATTGCTCTATCGCACCCGCATGGTATCTTAAGCCACAGAGACTCAATGGGGTAAGCACGAGGCTGCGCACTGCACCTGGACGACCACTGCTCCCTTCCTGGCAAGCATTCTCACTGAGTAGTCGGGGTTAAGTCACTGGACTAGTCCTCAATGCCCTCTGAGCAGGACTGTAGATCGTACCTGGTCTCCAGGCTGGCAGCCTCCTGAAGCATCTCCTCTGTGACCGTGTCTGTGTGATAAAACTCTCTGAGCGCCTGCAGCAGCTCCTCCTTTCGGTGCTCAGGCAGACCCTCTGCGTTGAGCAGGGCCCTGGCCCCAGAACGCACCTGCCGGCGCTCAGGATCTTCCAGCAGGCGCAAGCCCTCCTCGGAGCCAGTGGGGGCCTGGAACTCCCTGGCCAGCTGCTGCTTCAAGTGGTTGTCATAGTAGTTGGAGATGGCGTGGCAGGAGGTGCAGAGCAGCAGCACATCGTGGGAGTTGTGGTCCTTCATCTCGATGGGAAAGTGCTTCCGGTACTCATGCGGAATCACGTTCTTCCTAAAGAGGCCAAACAGAAGGCAACGCTCGTTAGCACATGACACAGAACATACACGGAGTCGGCAGGCAGGCAGGCAGGCTACTAGCGTTCTGATCTGGGCCTAAACACACCTGAGGAGCTTGGGTCCCACAGCCCAGCAGAGGTGACATTAAGGCCATACCACCTATTCCACTCTTGGCCCACCTACATACAGGCCTTGGGTTCTCCTCTCCTTGAAGTGAGTGCAGGCCACCGGCGGTCAGACTCCTCTGGCAGGCCAGGGGCAGGGAGAGGCTAATAACAACCTTTGGGAAGGCTGTGCTCCCAGAAGGAAAAGTATCAAGGGAGAATCATGAGGACCAGAGAGAAAGGCAGCTTCCTAAGGAAGGAAGGTCTCCGTTCCTTCATGAGCAAAGGGAATGACTCTCTTCATGGCAAACTGTTATCGAGAAGAGTGCTTCATTCCGGAAACTAAGAACTGGCTCAGGAGGGGCAGAAGCCACTACAGCAAGGCCAGGCAGAGTGCTGAAGCTCTTGAGGACACTGGGATGCCCCCTGGGGACAAGTCTCCCAGCCAAAGTAGGCAGACTGAGTCAAGCCCGCCAAGGGCTCTGCGTGTGGCTTGAAGGGCAATTTCCAACAGGGCAGCCCAGCCCACACTCACCGAATGTATGAGTCTTTCTTGCCACACACTACACACAGGTTTTCTTTAACCATCAAGTAGTAGTCTCCCGGGGATTCAGGTCTCCCCGCAGGTTCAAACTGTAGCTTGACCACAAAAGGCTCTTCACTCACCAGCTCTTAGAGGAAAGAAGCAGTGTTAGTGTATGACTGCCCACCTCTCCCACAAGGAAGAAGCACCACCTCAGTTGTTCTCTGCTGTATCCTGGCAGAGATCTCTATTTCTGGGTTCTGAACAGCCCCATCCCATGTGTCTCTAGGTCTCTCTGCCTTCTATCCATCCCATCCCTCTGCCTCATCTCATGCCCACTCCGGTCAGTGCCTGCATGCACCTAATTATAAGTCTAATATGACAGGTGAATCTCAAACCTCCAATGCCTTTGTCCAGGTACCACTGAGCTTTTCTTCGATCACAAGTGCAGAGGGGCTGTCCGTCAGGGGCGTGGAGAAAGCAGTTATCATAGAGGGGTGATTTTCTGTGGGGAAGGGAGAGAGAAATCTAAAACTGGGAGCTAACTATTGATCAAGGTACCAGTTGCCTTCCTATATTGAGTGACCCAAACTATTCAACACTAGGGTCAAACATTACATTTTTGGAAAAAAAAAAAAAACATGGCAAGAAATCATGTTTATTCCTCCATCTGCACTGGGCTAGGAAAGAGAAATTAAAATGAATCAGTTTATACTATTAGTTTTTATATTCATAGGTTGGAACATTAGAGAGTGAGTTGGGTAGTGTTTACGTAGTTCTATCATGAAAGCACGCAGGAACAGAACACCAGGAAAACTTCCCTGTAGAGTGATCATTGGATTAACAAAGTAAATTAAAATGAAAGAACTTCAAGCTAAAGTAATGGGTGCCACGTGGATTTATTTCTGGCTCATCTGCAATAGTTGCTTCAATTTAATCACACAATTCCTAAAGGCACTTTACTATAGGGACCAAACTTCCACTCCAAAGTACTTATTAGTCATCCTTCTGCAGTAGAGGCATGAGGTGTACAGGAAAATCCCCATTGGCTAGAGAATTATCATCGGCTTAGGATTGGATGCCGTTCCAAATAATCAAATGCCAAATGAACAAGAGGTCAGATGATGCACGTCTCCTGAAAAGCATGAGGCACTTCATTTCACCTTCACAGCTGCCCTGAAGCAAGCAAGGAGTAATAATTATGCCCTCGCTTATAACTGGAAAAGTACAGGTCTAAGGTCACATCAAGGTCAGTGACAAAGCTAGGTTAAGCTCTCCTCCTTTTCACTCCAACTGCCCACAAATAAAAAAGTAGAAGAAGGGCAAAAGGAAAAAGTACACAAGTAAATCAAAGGATAGCTCCAAATGTCCTTGAAGGAAAGGAAAAACAGAATTAATCCTTGGAGAGCCTCTGCCACCTTACCGCACTAGCCTTCTCCCCAGAGCCAAGGTAAGGCATCATGCCTTTTGCTGGAAGCTGGGCCTTGGGCTCTACTAGACATGGAACAACTCAGTTACCTGGCAGAATAGCCCACTCCAAGGGGTTTTCTTTTATGTTTTCTGGGGTCTCTCCCTTGGTGGTTGCCTGGCATCATTCCATCGGTCTTCGGCTTCTTATTTCTTGGCTTCTGCTGAGATTCTGTTGCTTCCCCATTAACCTCCTCTCCCAATCTGCTAATTCCTTTGCTTCGGAATGGGATATCTACCACATCCTGACATTTCTCCAAGACTTTTCTCCAGCCAGTGAAGTCATCATTTTCTTCTAGAGTTGAATTCCTAGAGAAAGGGTATCCAAGAAGATGGAGAAAGAGAGCCACTGAAATCTGGGCATCCCTGGCAGCATAAATTACCTGAAGAGAAAAGTCAGAGATCAGTGGAATCCGGAAGGCAAACCAGAGAGAGCAACTTCAAAATTAATCGCCAAGACACAGACAACTTTTAGGTTCCAATTCAAGATGTACAGTAACCCAGGCACCATGTACTCCTTAAAACCTTTTAATTACAAAACAATTCACATGATACAGAAACAAATCAAATAGTATAATGAATCCTCACGTTCTCTATGTTTTTAACTAACATAGCTCAAATAATGACCTACTCTATGTGCTCAAAATTCCTACTCTATATAAATCAGTGAAGTTTCTTTCTATCTGCTACCAAACCTGCTGGACAGATTTTTCTCAAGTTTGGGGTAGGGTAGGTACCACAGGTCTGACAACTTCACTTTGGAAACTGTCATCATCTAGAAAACTGAAACCAAGATTCATTAAGAGGCCTGTGTGACTATTGATCAGAAACAAACTGCTGTACATATTAATACAATGTGTAAAACAAGGAAAACAGTTTCAAACATGGACCTCAGATCAAAAGTCACAAGGGCCCACTTCTGGAATTTATGTATTTATTAATAGTAAGTCATTCACCCAGGCAACTAGGCACAGGCAAGCTGGTCATAAATAAAAGTTGTCAAAACTATAATTAATAGCTCTTCCCAACAAAGCATGTGAGGACTTTAAAATTCCTTTAATTCACCTTTAATAATCAAGCCTGGTAAATAACACTATTAGTATGGATTTTTTGTGTGTGCTTTTAGAATAATAGAAAAAAAAGAATAGAAAAATAAGGTTTGGGTAAAATTCTCCACCTAGACCCAACCATCTACATCTCTGTCAGCAAGTTGTCTCCCACAGGAAAAGAGGGTGCTTGAACGTGAAGAGTTCAGAATGATTTTTAACAAATTATTTCCAAATGATAAGGAATCCAAGGCACTTTTCAACAAATGGTGCTGTAACAACTGGATGTCCACATGCAAAAAGATAAAGTTGGACTCCTACTTCACACCACACACACAAATTAACTCAAAATGGATTATGAACCTAAGTGTAAGAGCCAAAACATAAGACTCTTAGATGAAAACATAGGAGGGACTTCCCTGGTGGCACAGTGGTTAAGAATCTGCCTGCCAATGCAGGAGACACGGGTTCGAGCCCTGGTCCGGGAAGATACCACATGCCGCGGAGCAACTAAGCAACTAACCGTACTGAGCCTGTGCTCTAGAGCCTGCAAGCCACAACTACTGAAGCCCGCACACCTAGAGTCAATGCTCCACACAAGAGAAGTCACCGCAATGAGAAGTCCGCACACCACAATGAACAGTAGCCCCCGCTCGCCACAACTAGAAAAAGCCCACGCACAGCAACAAAGACCCAACACAGCCAAAAATAAATAAATTTATTTAAAAAAAAAAAGAAAACAGAGGAGTACATGTTCATGACTTTGGGTTAGACAATGATTTCTTAGATATGACACCAAAAGAAAAAAGAAATAAAAGAAAAAATAGATAACTGGACCTCATCATAATTAAAAGCTTTCATGCTTTAAATGATCCCATCAAGTAAGTGAAAAGACAATCTGCAGAAAATGGGAGAAAATATTTGTAAATTATATATCTGATAAGGGATTAGTATCCAGAATACATAAAGAATACACACACACACACACACACGTCTTTTAAAATTCAACAATTTAAAGACAAACAACACAATTAAAATGTGAGCAAAGGATCTGAACAGACATTTCTCCAAAGAAGATATACCAACAGCCAATAAGCACATGAAAGATGCTCAGCATCATCGGTCACTAGGGAAATATAAATCAAAACCACAACGAAATACCACTTCACACCTACTAGGATTGCTCTAATCAAAAAGATGAATAATAATAAATGTTGGTAAGGTTATGGAAAATTGGAACCTTCATATATTGCTGCTGGGACTATAAAATGGTATGGTTGCTTTGGAAAATAGTTGGGCAGTTCCTCAAAGAGTTAAACATAAAGTTACCATGTGATTCAGCAATTCCATCCTAGGTATTTACCCAAGAGAACTGAAAATGTATGTCCACATAAAAACTTATACACAGATATTCGTAGTGGCTTATTCGTAACAGCTAAAAAAATGAAAGCAACCCAAATCTCTACCAATTGATAAACGAATAAACAAAATGTGGTCTATCCATACAATGAAGCATTATTTAGCAATAAAAAGGAAATGAAGTACCAATAGTTGCTACAACATGGATGAACCACAAAAACATGGTAAGTGAAGAAGCCAATCCAAAAAAACCACATACTGTATGATTCCATTTATATGAAATGTCCAGAACAGGCAAATTTATACAGACAGAAAGTAGATTAGCGGTTGCCGAAGGCTGGGGTGTTGGGGAGGTGAGATGGGAAGTGACTGCTAATGGGTATGGGGTTTCTTTTGGGGTGATGAAAATGTTCTAAAACTAGATTGTGGTGATGGTTACACAACTCTGTAAATATACTAAAATCCATTGATTGTATACTTTTTTTTTGGCCACATTGCACGGCTTGCAGGATCTTAGTTCCCCAACCAGGGATCGAACCCGGGCCCCCAGCAGTGGAAGGGCAGAGTCCTAACCACTGGACCGCCAGGGAAGTCCCTGACTTGTATACTTTAAATGGGTGCATTTTATTGTATGTAAATTATATTTCAATAAAACTATTAAAAGAAAGGAAGGAATGAACCTACCAAGGCACAAAGAAGTAACTTACTCAGGGTCGCAGCAAATCTGAAATAGCTTTAGAAAAAACAAATCAGATAACTTGATTCCCAGAACTCTCTCACAGGATAATATTAATCCTAAGATACTAACTATTGCTAACTCTTTCCATTAACAATGTTTTGGGGGATTTCCCTGGCGGTCTGGTTGTTAAGACTGCACTTCCACTGCAGGGTGCGTGGGTTTCCCCTGGTCGGGAACTGGGATTGCTGCATGCCATGTGGTGCGGTCCAAAAAAAAAACCACAACACAATGTTTTAGAAGGATGAACAAACAAACGGTAACAAACTAAGCAAACAAGAGAAGTTGAAACCTAGGCCTGTAGGGGGTAGTAAGCAAAAAATCCAAAACTCAAATTAATCTGAGCCACAAAGAATGGCAAAGTATAAAGAATGCGAGGCACCAGGTATCTATAAAAGCAATGATACAAGGTGAAAACAGGAGGATCAGGTGACAGTCTCTGTAAATAACACTTACAACCCCAGATCTCCTCTCTTACGGCACAGGGACAGGCAATTACTCCTTCCCTGACCCAAAAGAGTAAAAGTTTGTAGAACCAAAACTAAAATGGAGTCACTTATGTCAGAGACAAAATGGAGGTGGCCAATGCAGGCGCATTAAAGAAAATGAAACTTTATTTAACGTAACTTGCAGGAATTTACAGCTCTCCTCAGAAATCAGCAGAGGATGTCAGTCAGTCTCCAAACACTGAGTCTGTTCATGCCATCTTTAGACTTCCTTATTCCCCTGTCTCAGCTATCCTGATCCAAATAAGGAAGAAGACCACTAGGCAAACAATCAGCTGAAAAAGCCAAAAATCTTCCACATTTACCCAATGAGAACCCTTTAGTCTGTGAGCTACTTGAAACTCATCGCTCCCGTGGCCTTGAGTTTCCCAGCTTGCAGGTCAAAACTGTTGCAATAAACTCGTATTTCTGCTTTGTTTTACTCGGTGTGCAGAGTTTGGGTTTTGACAAGTTTAAGTCATATAGTGGCTAAATCACAGAGGATCTGGACCTGGTAATACCAGGCATGGCAGAGGTTGGGGGCAAAGTGTCACCAGGAAAAAGGGGGATTATGGGAAAATCTACATATTAAATGATAAGACTACCATCACCTTCTCTCCCACTCAGCTACCAGAATATAGGCTGTGGGGCTGATACCTCTTGGGCAGAAGAGTAGGAGATTCATGTCTGGAGAAACTGAGTGGCCTGAGAGAAAAGACTTACAGTTACTGACATTTGACTTTAATTTATATTAATAGTTACTGATAATTAAACTCGCTAGTCAAAAATACCTGGCCATATGCTCTGTGCTCCCATTCCATTTTTTTTTTTTTTTTTTTTTTTTTTTTACCGGTACGCGGGCCTCTCACTGCTGTGGCCTCTCCCGTTGCGGAGCACAGGCTCCGGATGCGCAGGCTCAGCAGCCATGGCTCATGGGCCCAGCCGCTCTGCGGCGTGTGGGATCCTCCCGGACCGGGGCACAAACCCGTGTCCCCTGCATCAGCAGGCGGACTCTCAACCACTGCGCCACCAGGGAAGCCCTCATTCCATTTTTTTAAATGTCAAATTTAAATATTATTTTCTGTATTTTACAAAATCTCATTAAGCATTATGTTTATAATTAGAAAAACAAGAATTTTTAAATGAAGAATGAATAAGAGTCTTTGGAAATTCTGAATTCTCACAATAATATGGATCACAAATTTGGTTTCAAATTTGGTAGCAATTAACTTTTTCTTCCCAATGCTTTATTTGAAAGATTTCAAACCTAAGGAAAAGTTAAAAGAATGATAATTGACATTCATAATTGTCAACATTTGCTTTATCTCTTTATAATACAATACATACACCACACAAATACTTTTTTTGGGGGGGGGCTGAACACTTTTCAAAATTAAGTTGCAGCTATTATGATATTTACTTCATCTCTAAATACTTTAGTGTGTATCTTCTAAGAACAAGGACACTCTCCTACATAATCACAACACCATTATCACACCCAAGAACTTTAACAGTTGTATTCTAATGTCTCCAACAGTCCCAAAGATGTCTTTTACAGATGTTGCAGGATTCAGAAATTTCAGAATTTTATTTAGAATTTTTAGAATTATTTACAGAATTATGCATGCAACCTTTATCACAGTCAATTTTAGAACATTTTCAGCAGCCCAGTAAGAAAACTTA